CTATGTCTAATAATCTTTGGACTAAATCGTTTTCTGATCTTGTTATAATGATTTACAATAACGATAGTGTACCGGGATGATGACTGTTGTATTTAACGGCTCCATAGATCCAGTAAGGCCACATCTGGGGAAATTTGGCACCAGTAAGAAGGATAAAAGGATAAAGTGTCTGGCGGTTATCAACCTCTGAGAGATCGCTATGCATTCGACTTCAAGCTAAAGTTGATTGAATACATATCTGGCCTATACAATAACTTACGGTGGCCTTGCAATGTATCAAGTCTATGACTCTATCCTCCTAGGTAGCTCTGGTACCAAAATGCCGACCATGGAGGGTGGAGGCTCGGTGAACTCAAAGCGCAAGATCGAGCCAACGAACTACATTGCAGGGCACAACGGCGCTGTACGCGCCCTGGTACCAGCAATGAGTTGGAAATAATTATTTATGCAGAAAATGCAAAATTACCTGGCAACTGTTCAATCACTTCTGATTTGATCATTGATCTAAGCCTTCACAACGATGTGGTTGGTCAACTGATAATATCCAAAACCACGACGAACTCAAAATTGGAATAAGAATACAATAGCTGAGAGACAGGCGAAACGAAGAACCTGCATGGTGTGGTGGCGAACGCGTTACTACCCGGAAAGGACAATAGCGCTTTCGTTCCCCACCGCAGACACCTGTGGTCCGGAGTTTTGCAAATATCTCAGCATCATTGAAGTTATATTTCGCAATATACCCTGCCATTAGAAAGAGTAGGCAGAAAATAATAAGTTAAAGTTGTAAGAATACAATAAATATATAGTATAATAAGAATATAATAATAGGAATGCGGTTTCGAATATTCATAGTTACTCGATGGCAGGGAAATTTTGGATGTTCTTAAATAAAACCCGAAGCAAAATTAGCAACAAAAGATGATTATGATAACTGTTTGATGGTCTACGGCAAAAGTGATCCGCCACAATATTTTTAGTAATCGCGAAAAGACCGCGGAAGAGAAGTATTGCTATAAATTTGACGAAATGTATGGAGAAGATATCTAACAATGGTAGTGCACTGTCGATCACTTGTTACACAACACGCTCAGTGGTTAAAAGAGCCGAGTAATGAAACTGCCTTACCTAGTGTACCATCGAACCTCTCGTTAATCCATTTCGACAATTACATTCTGCTGAAATACTCAACTGCTAAGATATTCTTAAATTCTTTTGAAGAATTCATCGCTTTCAAAATTCTATAATGCTATTCTACCAGATTCTCCCAACGGTTTACCACTTCATCGTGGGTGGGAGGTGTTCCTGGGTCTCGAGCAGCGACGTACAGCAGGCAGATTCGTTCCCCTGATAGGGCCTCCCATGCTGAGAAGGACTCTGGCGTTTTCATCAGGAAGCCTGGCTAAGAGTAAACCAATAGAAGGATCCACCACCGTCCTGGTATCAAAGTCATATGGTGGCAAATCTCCCTCTGATCCAGGAGGGCTGAGAAGACTTGGGTCAGGCTTTGGCCAGACTGACCTTGGGATTCGAGGGAACCACAATGGCTTGACCAGCAAATCTCCGAAAAAGTGCAGATTATTGTGGCGGCCGCACAACCAGTGATGACGAGCCGTTCAAGTATCAAGTATCAAGTATTCTATCAGATATTTCCTTGCCAAAGGTGTGAGGACTGTAGAGTCTCTCATAATGAATAATGAAGCTGCTTGATTTATGCTGGAGCACTTGAAAGTTGTCGATTGCCGCTCAACAATCTGTCAATGTATTTGTAGTGTATCGCTTTATTTGTACTTTTTGTAATGGCAAAAGATGTCGGATCCGGCCGTCATTTTAGCAGAAGAGAGCCTCCGCATGTTTCTATTGACGAAGATCGTTACCTCAGTGATGGTGTTCAAGGTTGGAACGGTACTTGCTCACAAGTAGCACATCAAGAATCTTGCTAGAGCTTTGTCCAAACAATCAAAGCAAACATTTTTATTAATTTATTTCAATGCGACTGAAAATTAAGTATCGTGGTTCTTTTGTTGAGGTTATAGAGGCGCTTGGCTAAGTTATAAATAACTTGGTCTTTTAAAGCTCTAAAAAAACCGAAAACCGCCGAAACATCAGCTGTTTTGAACGAATAATATATAAGCTTCGTGCATGCTTATAAAAAAATTGGCGGGTTATTTTGTCAATGCTGAGGTAAATAGAAAGTCGGACATCGGAATTATGCTAAAGTTATGTTCAAGTAGCTCAACCAAATGTGGGTTCTTGGGCTTGGAGGATTATTCAGCTCCTTGACTCTACAATCACAACAGAGCTAGACGATGTATGATGCCTTATCAATACGACTTGCGGGGTTTCAAGATGAGGCTGTGGAGGCGTAGAGACTGTTGAGAAGTGTTACAATTACACGTAAGTTTACTCAGATCTGTGTATTTTGATTAAACGTTGTAACACTTCATATTCAGCAGTGAGGAAATTTTCTTTCCCATCACGACTATTGTTCAAGGCTCGTCAAATTTCAGTCAGTCTTCAAACCCACTCATTTACAAACACGACCCCTTCGAGTTGTCAGTTATAAATTCTTTCCCACCACTTCCACATCATCGTCTTTTTCATTCTTTCTTCCTTCCCGTCGTTATTACTTTCCTTCCAGAAAGCAGTCTTAAACACTGTCAGTTTCTCAGTAAATGTACGAATCACTATAGTAAGTCGAAAACACTAAATAGATATTCATTACGATAACTTCTACGTATTTGAATGCTTGGCACACAATTTCAAGAATCGTGCAGGTCTCAGTACACCCTTTATTCGCTCCTAAGGGTATCAATCCATTACCATTTCTACCTGTGAATACCAGTGATTAAGATGAGCTACAGAAACATCCACGTAAATTCCAGGTAGTAGCAGTGAAGGATACTACCGATGTTCAGGAATGTATTCTAGCTTCGTCAACTGTTGCTATCACATAACATTCATGTATTGTTTTCCAAACATTATATATTACCCTATATTACATTAGATTATATTATATTTTCCATCAAGAAGCCTACCTAAGAGTAAACCAACACCAGGATCGACCACTGTTCTGGTATCAAAGTAGTCACACGGTGGTAATTCTCCGTCCGATTCACAAGGGCTGCGACTGCCTGAGCTGGTGACGACCTAGGGCAGACTTTAGCCAGGCTGACCAGGGACTCCGAGGGAAAACGATAGCTAAACCAGCAAGACCCCGAAAAACGGAGGTTATTCTAGGGCCCGCACAAGTAGTGAGAACGTCCAAGTACTCAAGTAAGTAAACATTTTTATTTTAACATTATATTATTCCCAAATACAACATAGTTTTCGATGTTCTGTACCGTACAGGTCTAGTTGATGTTGTATGTGTATAGGTTACATTTCAGGGTGCGTACCTGGAGCCACCGCAAGATTCTGGTTAGTTTGGTTATCACCTCTCGCCTGAGCTTCATATCGGAGCGCTAGGAAGACTTTGTCATGTGTGCATTAGTTTGTTTGCATAAGTTGGTTAATGGTCTCTTCAAAATACGTCATCCTCCTTTAAAAGGTTTACGCAGATCACTGGTCTTTGTAGTCACATGAAGCATGTGATCTCTTCAATTATAGGAACATCCATAATTATTTTTCATAATCATATCACCGATTTCTCACGAACTAGGATTTATTTCCGATTTGTACGCAACCCTGTAAGCTTACGCCCACTGGGTTCTTGAGTATCACCTGCTCCTGTACTTCGAAACCAAGACCATGTGTGTATTGCAAAACACTAACCATTGGGCAATACAACTCCAATCAAACTCGTCGAACTCCATGATTTGAGGATATTCCATCAGATTGCAACTCTGCTGTTCTCTCTAAACTGATAAAGATGCTGCATCAACGACTAGAGGAGCTTCTTGTATATTCCTGTACTGATATCAGTGCAAGATGATATTCTTGCAAGTAAAACATAAGAGGGAAGATTTTATTTGGTTTTTAGAGATGACATCAGCAATTAGTGGTACCCTCGTCATCAAACGCTGTCATCGAAAATGTTCACAGAGCAAAACAGATAAATAACCGACAAGAACAGCATTTAACTACATATCCCTAGAAATGGAATCGGACATGGACTGTAGCTGGAAGGCAGTTCGGCTGCATTCATCATCAGCATTCCTTCGTCGCTTTATCAAGGAGTTTAGATCTTCACTAAACGTCAGCATCCTTTCGTGTAGTGACAACGCCTCGGAAAACAAGTTTTCACCCTCCAAAGAGTTCCACGGATCTGAAAAACACTTTACAGGACAAAAAGTCCATCGCAACTTTAAAAATATTGACTCCATCGAGAACAAGGGCTAACCATCACGAATTGATGTTAACAGCGAATTATCAGCAGATGGCTGAGCTTTGTCGATAGAATCACCTAAACATGACACAGCTATAAATTCATATACACAATGCATGTATCCTTGAAGTGCGACTAAATTCATGTGATTTCTTGGAGACAACACCACTTTGTAGTTTCTTCGAAGAGAACATTGAATGGCTAAGAGAACTTCTAACATTTGTCTTTTTCTCTTTCTTCCCGTCTTTCGTCTTTCTTTTAGTAATTTACTTGTACTACTTTATTAAGATTCTAGTAATTTTAAGTTACCAGATGACATCAGATAAATCATTGATACCAAAGACTATAAACAAGAAATCCCGACTAGTTGTTGCCTCAAAGTAGTCCATCGCGGCTCGTTAAGTTGACACGATTTGAGAGTCGCAATAAGCAACATCCGATCGTATGCCTCGCCCACATTTCTGACTCATAGTAGTGGCATCACATACTGTGTGGCTAACTGAACCCAACTCTCTGGTTTTTTGTCTTCCTTCCTTTGTTCTCTGATTTTTCGACTCCTTGCCTTGTTCTTTGAGGAATATTGTGAAGAATCAATTCTATTACTCAATACAAATTTTGATTTCAGTTACCACAAGAAAACTATCGAAATACAACCACTATGTATCGTTTAATGATGAGACCCCAAATCAACGTGGAATCCGAAAGCGACCCTATGAACGTGGAAGCCGAAATAAAAAGGAAACGATCGAATGCACATGAGATTAGTGATCACACTGTGATACAAATCGTCAAGATGGACAACAATCTATGTCCACCCGTTGCTACCGCACCTATCAGTGAAGACTGCGATAGTACAAGTAGGTTAATGAAAAACTGAAGTCCGAGTAAATTGCTTCGAAGATTCGAATTTCATAAGTATACGAAGTAAAAATCAAACTAATGTAGCAAATAATGCGAACATTTCATTTACTACATAATCGGCTGATACCTTGAAGGTTTTCTCTTTTCAATGGATACGGTGTTATCATCATTTCCTATCAGTCTAAGTAACATATTCCCATCTTTTAAATCTGCATCATCATCGAGTTAGCCTGTCATCATCTACAATTTGCAGGAAAAAAAATGCGGGAGCAGCTGAGTAGACTGACACGGCAGCAACACAAACTTATCACCGAGACATTTAAACTAATAGACATCGACCCGGTGAAAAGCGCCCTCCGAATGCTTCTAAAGTGAGTTAAAATGTTCAGTGTTCGTATATATATATATATATATATATATATATATGAATACATGTACACATGTATACGTGTATATGTGCAATTTTTCTCATTATTACTGCTGTTTTGTTCAGATTTCCACGTGGGATCGCCAGCAAATTGAGGCTTTTCGCTTTTTTCATGAATGTTATTTAAAACTTCTTAAGTGTGATTCTCTTTGGAATACCAGGATAGCTCTCACTAAAGCATTCCGATTTCTTTGCTAGAGGCGCTTAGTATTTGTTGATCGGAGAGTGGCACAAGGAGAGTTCATCCAACAGGATACAGCAATCAGAGGGGTTCCAGGTTTGCGTCCGTAAGCATAGATAAGACAACTTATGTCCCTTGGTCAAACGCAGTTCACATTTTGAAAAAGAGAAATATCACCCAATTATGCATTCATGGATTTCCATAAACATGGAGAACAAAACAAGTGAAAAAAGAGAAGAAAGGCAGAGGCACAGACCTATCAGGGAATGGACCGATCAACTGATGAACTTTGAATCCATGATTTCGTACCTATATTTTTGTCTCAACTGTCCTTCCATGCAGGTTGGACGACATAAACATCAACCAGATTGTATCGCACATAGCATACATAAAGCATTCGGACGACGTCTTTTGAAATCCAATCGACATATGCAACACCACTACGCAGTTCAAATCTTCAACAACCAAGCTGTTTTTGAAGGAATATCGTACGGTAAAGCGAAATGCTAATGGTACACGACGATAACAGTCAATGACAAATAGAAGAGCACAGTGGCAAGATGAACACTAAAAAAATGCAAGCATCTCTTACTGTAACCAGCTGCAAGATGGGCGACTGTACTTATAGTTTACGCTAATCAGTTACGATGAATAACAAAAACATGCTCGCAGAAATCCCCATTCCGGAACAACCAACTCTGGACGACGAGCACGAGGGAATAAAACGAATGGAATGTACGAATTTCTACACGACGCATATGAGTATTCACATTAAGTAGAGGTTATATTTAAAGATTGAATCATTTTCAATCTTCATAGGTAGAATAATGACATTCAAACCATGACTACACATATAACGCCAACGAAATTAAAGATTATCCTTGAACTATTACTATCATTACCCCGTCAAATAAGCGTCAATAAGGGCGCGTGTGGCGCAGTGGTAGGAGGCGCCCTGCAACACACACGAATCGATCCTCGCGCCCATGGCCCACTAAACCTTTCATCGATCCGGAGTCGGCAAATTCGTACCAGATTTATTTGAGAGGATAGCAGCATTGACTCGATACATCGGTAGACCACCACGAGTCATTGTAAAAGGCCAGATATGCATTCAACCACCTCCAAAACGATGCTAAATGAAGTCGAGTGCATGGCGCATCCTTCACGAATTGATCAACGCCGAGAACTTCTTTTTACCATTTACCTCCGTCAAAAATTCATTCTATAAAATCTAGAATTAATAAGCTACCATAGATATAGCATTTGAAACTTTTCAGACTATTCGCCGAACACCCTCAATATAAACAGATTTGGCCGCAATTTCGACAAATACCTGACTCTTCTCTTATGAATGCAGTTCAACTCAGGTGACATACTCCTAAAATATGACAGTTTTTCAACAACTACAATGAAACTGAAAGGTGGTCTTGATCCATAAACTCCTTTGGCTGAGACAGCACCACTGATTCCGGCCTTAGCATTTTATTGAGCGGTCTTAAATGTATGCAAGGACCTAACCGGCACAACATTGTTCTCCAATTATCCAATTAAATTCGGATCCAGTGGAATCATTGCCTGATCTAGTGATTATGTGATTGTTTGAATGGAATCTCGGACGTTATTACCCATGTGTGGAGTAAGAAGATTCAATACGCTGTAGAAATAAAATAAGTCAAGACATGAGTAGACGATATTTCTTTAACGCTGCTCGACTACGGCAAAAATATGAATGTTGGAAGACTGATGAAAGCAATAGGGAACATTTGATACGCACGTGAACACTAGTTCAATCACTGTGGAAAAAACAAAGCAAATTACCACGTCGATTAGTTGATAGTAAATCCATTAAATAACCAAGTGTGAATGGTCATAGTTAGGAAAATAATAAACTAAGAAGTAGAACCATGATGTGTTTGCCCCTTGTCCATGGTGTAAACTTTAAAGATTCTCCACTTGTAACAAGTGGCTATATCGCTGTGATCTCAGCGAGAACCCTATTCAGACGACTATACCGTTTTCAGAAGACACGCCACAGTCTACATGGCCGGATTGCGCAATATAATTTATTCGATGTCAAACGAGGATGAACTGACCTTGCAAATGATCCGAATCGCCAAGGCTCATAAGAAATGGAATATACACCGCAGACATGTCATGGTGGGTTACGGAACGATTTAAGCTACCGTAATAAGCCATGCTTCTATCGTGACGCTAGTGTAACTACCTTCTCGAAAAAAACGAAAAATCGTGAGAGTAATCCCGGAAGGAAAATCAGGAATTCTTTTTTCTTAAGTCGTAATAATACTAGTACGATGACAACGCATGGACAAATCTCATTAACACTGTCTCTACTTTCATGAAAGAAATTTAAACTAATAAAGGTTATTTTCATTTTCAGGGCTATTCATTGCATATGAAAATAAGATTTTCAGACCATGCTTCAGCCGTTACTTGAAACACTGCAAGAATCGAATAATGGACAAATGGACGAACAACTGAAAACAGCATGGACCACATTCTTTGATGTCATCGCAGATTTCATTGAAATCTACAGAAATTAAAAACTGTAAATACTCGTTTTATATCTTCCCTTTTTTCCTCACGAATCATTTTGTTTATAAAGGTTCGTGTCACCCATTTTGTTCTATTCCGCTGTACATAAAGACCTCGAATATGAAAACTGTAAGTAAAGCATTCTCTATATAATCGAGACACTAATATAGTGTGTTAAATTTTTGATGTTGTGTCAATTTCTAATACTAAGACACCTCTTACAGCACTTCTTTACATACGAGATATACTGATTGAGATTCCATTAGGATCTCATTTCGCGACGAATAAAACTGAACTAGGCAATCACCTACTCACACCCTATTCATGGCTACAACTAACAAGAGCACAAAACAGCTACAATAAGCATACCTAACACCTAACAATGAGTTATCGTACTGAAGTAACCCTTGCTTAAAACAATTGTAACTACTCTGACTCTACTCGATAACTAATGCATTTAGGGATTTCAGAACTTGAGATTTTCACAGAACTGATCCCATCGTTGTATTGTCTTTCTATGGGTATATAAAGTTTTTATAAAATATGGTTGCTTCAAAATAGCCGAAGTCCAAAAACCCTTAAAAAAGAGCAAAGAAAAATGAAACCGTAAAAGTATTTTAACTCAAGTGTGAGTTAACAGATATCAAAGACCAGTCAGAATATAACTGTACCCTACTGGAAGAAAAAAAAAACAATGGAAAAGATCATTAACAACTTGTAGTTCGATTTACTCCGACGTTCACACATTTCTACATCGTCACTGAAAGTGAATATGTTGGACACACGGTCTTCAATACCCGCGACCGAATAGGAACCACTCTTAAAGAGGTCACCATTTGTCCTCAACAATCTAATCCAGGACTTCACGTGTCGCTTGTCAACATGGTGTGGCTGCTAGCAAACTGTGCTTTTGCACAACAAGGAAACCTACACGACATCACCAACTATAGAACAAATCTATCTGTCCACTACTCACATCGCTCTGAACAGCAATGACAAGAACCGAAAAAATACAGTTATGCAAGAAATAAAGTCTCGCAAAGGACTAAACACTATGGATCACATCCATATGATCATGAAGATCATTGAAATATTGCAAAAACAAGAGAGAGCTCTTTGTCCTGCCTCCATAGACTTAAACAATGCGTTTGACTTACTCGAGCTAGAAGCAATTACACAAACTCTTCACAATAGAGTCGTCCTTTCTCTTTACATAAATATCCATTAGGAGCACAGTACAACTTGATAACCAGAATTTCACCATTTCAGAAGAACGTTATTTTCGGTGTCAAGAGAAAGAACTACAACAGTAATAATCTTCTGAGCGGTTATCAAGAAAACGACGAATTATTGACCAATGCTAAAGTTAACTGGAAGTCGGTCCTGGGAATTAGAATGGCAAACTTTGGACATATTAGTGGCCATACCTTTAAAGAGTACTAAGATGGAACGAATGCCAATCGATTCCGATGGTACTTCGACACCTGAAAATCCGCCTCCAGCTCCAAAAAGTTCTGTTGGTAAAGTAGAAAAAAACATTATGGACCTTGTAATAATCAAACGTGTCTCCTTTCTCTGTCTCTTTCTTCTCTTCCACGCACCTCCCTCATATGAGGGATCCCGATAGCCGGTTAGTCGCGAGGATACGTCGCGCGTCCCTTGGTGGCGGATAGAAGGTTAATCGCGGTCCAAAAGCGACTTTTGGTTCCCTGAGACGCAGGTGGATCCAGGGGATGGACTCCCTGTTTCTGCTGCGCCGATTTGGCACCCAACTTCTGTATTTACTAGGCGTATTCATGCATGCGTGTGTGTGTGGGTGAGTTCTTGCTTATGCGGATTGTATTCTATGAGTCAATTCGGTAAAAAGTTTGAAATCAAGTGACAGGGAAGTATATGGGAGGCGGTAAGGAGTCACCTCCAACAAATAAGCTCCATGTCCATTCTGGGAGAGCCTGGCAAGCTACCCGTGAGCATACCCAGCCCCACGTTCAGAGCGCAGCAAGTTATACGTGGGTATCAAAAATGTTAAACACAGTAAAAAAAAAAAAAGCGGGCCTCATTCCTCTGACCACGAAAGAGCCCCAATTCGGCAGCGTTGAGTAGAATGAGTACGGAAAGGCTGTTAAAATCTCAGAGACAATGGTAGCTGCCTGAATCACGAAAAACTAAGGTGACGATCTGTACCTACAATGCACGTACACTTGCATCCGAATCCTCTATAGAAGGCTAGCTCATGCAAGAAGCAAGAAGGATAAGGTACGAAGTCATCGGCTTGGCCGAGACAAGAAGACGCCAACCTTTCAACGCCGTCTATTACACCGGAGAAGAACTGTTCCTTGGAACATGCGACAGTAGAGGAGTCGGAGGGTTTCGCGTTCTCGTCAACACGAGTTTTCCAAAGATGTGGATCAATACCAGCTTTGACAATCTTTGTCGTTTACGCGCCAACATCAAACTATGGCGAAGAAGAAGAAGAAATCGAAGCGTTGTATATGAACTTGGAGAAATTCTACAGAGAAGACCACACATTCTTCAAGGTCGTCATTGGAGATTTTAACGCCAAGATTGGACCAAGAAGAACGTCACATTGGAACCCATGCATTAGAATGGGATGAACAGGGTGAGCAGCTGTCTGAGTTTCTCATGACGACCAAAGCCATTAGTGGTAGCTCACAATTCCAGAAGCCACCCTGAACGCTGGACGTGGGAGTCTCCCAATGGAGAGTACCATAACGAAATAGACCACATCATAGTAAATCGAAGGTTTTACCCAACGGATGTCGCTGTCGTCCCAAAATCCTACACAAGATCAGACCAACATTTCCTCTTCGCAAGATTTCATTTATCGCGAAAGGCAGAAAAATCAGCTAAATTCAAAAAACGAAGTTCCAAAACCACCACAAACTGGGACTAATCAAACTCATTAATCGGTTGTTGGGAAGACGCCGTTCTAGATAACATTGACGAGGAATATGACGGGCTCATTCAATATCTTCGAATTAGCGCTATGAAAACCCAGAGTTCGAAAGCCACCAAGAAACGTCTGTCGCCAGGAACACTAGACCTAACAGGCCAGTAAAGAATCACATGAGCTACAGGGCGCCTACTCACGTCCGTCCTTGAAAAACAATGCAAAGAGGCGATGAAGGAAGATCTTGAAGAGAGAAGAGTAGCAGTTATGGTCGAAACTACAAAGACTGAGAAAAGCATTTGCAAAGCCTACCGAAGCTTCACCAGTGATAAAACCGAAATTATTCCACTCTGACGCCCAAACGAAACAGTTATACCTTCCAGAAAGGTAATGGAGTAAATCATTCACGATTTACTCAGATCTCTCCGACACCCATGTCCTCAAACCCTCGTATGAAATAAAGGAAGATATATGTCGTACCATAGGTTTTCACTTCCAAAATCCTAGATGAGATTTGAACATCTGAAAACCATCCTCCAGTCCTCATAAACACATGCTCGGTTCTTCATATGTTACCTATTTGAATGCAAGGTCCCTACTCAGTGGAAGAGTGCAAGACCGCGCTATTGTTCAAGAAGGGTGACCTACACGATATCGGCAACTATCGCCCAATCTGCTTGCTGCCTGTCGTTTACAAACTTTTCACTCGAATCATTCTAAACGGGATTGACAGAACACTGGACGAAGTGCAGCCAAGTGAGCAAGCAGGATTTCAAAAAGGATTTAGTACGATGGACCACATCCACACGATGACAAGACTCACTGAAGTATCGCGAGAGTACCAATTGATAGTCAAGGAGTCCCTATTCGGTACATAAAGATTCTTCGTGAACTGTACAAAAATCTAACAACCAAGATATCACCATTCTACAACGACGTTAACACTGACGTTAAAAGAGGAGTTCGGCAAGACGATACCATCTACCCAAAATTATTTACCGCCACCCTCCAAAATGTCATGCGAACATTGGAATGGGATAATATGGGAGTGAAAATCGATGGTCGGCAGTTACATCATCTTCGCTTTGCTGATAATATCGTCTTTATAACACTAAACATTAGTCAAGCGGAACGTATGCTTGTCGACTTTGATGGAGCATGTGGAAAGATTGGTCTTCAACTAAATCACACAAAAACGATGTTTGTGAGGAACGGATTGGCTTCGTATGTCCCATTCACGTTCAACAGGACGAATATCTCCGAATACTCCAATTATGTCTATCTAGGTTGGGAAATCAACATGTTGAACGACTTAGCTTCAGAGTTGAACAGAAGGAAACGAGCGGCTTCAGGAGATTTCAAGAACGTCGAGGATGTAGTGAAGAGAATAAATAACACCCGACTCCGTTCCCAGCTTTTCGACTCAACGGTACTTCCTGTCCTAATGTATGCTTCAGAAACTTGGCCGCTGCGCTAGCAGGATGAAAGATCACTCAGAGTTATTGAAGGCACAGTCGAAAAGCGATGCTAAGAGTATCCCGTTTCACACAAGTGAGGGAAGGGATCCGAAGCTCCGACCTGCGTAAACGATCAAAAATCAAAGATGCCGTTCTGAACGCCAAACAGTCGAAGATAAGGTGGGCTGCACACGTAATGCGTATGAATGACAACCGATGGACAAGAGTCGTTAGTGACTGGATTCCCCAGGACGTCAAACGTACTGCAGGAAGACCACCAACTCGATGGTCAGAGTTCTTTACAAAGAGCCTAGAAAAAAGATATGATGCTCAACGAGTCCATAGAGCGAGCAAAATCCACTGAGCTACTTTTGCGCGCGACAGGGAAAAATGGAAGATTAACTGGCGCTCGCTCGAGTCACTCGACTATCAACGGGACTACAAGTGATAAAGGTGATACAGGTCTCCTTCTTAGCGCAGATATAATAATGGCCTCCCTCAGATATTCCACAGAGTTCTCACATAACATATAATGCAAGACATGAGTTCACACTGCACGTCTCTACGAAAACGAAGATTGGGCGCCTCCCAAATTTAAACATACGTATCTCATGAGGCTGGTACTACACTCTTTATTGAC